TTTTTTCGCTCATGTGCGCTTTCTCGCTGTTTGCTCACTGGAATAATAGTATATAATATAAACACGGTTTTTATGACTTCAGACTGTTGAGCGGGTCCTTCAGGCTCCCCAAAAAAAATGTTTGCAAGTTCTCATCATCCCATCTTCCCTCACCTCCGACCGGGAGAAGACCAGCGCTTGGATGGCCACGGAGTTCTGGCCAAAGCCTCGGAGACCATCCACGCATCATATACATTGTTCAGGGTTCAACTCATTGTTCAACTCCAAGAGACGCAAGAGAAAGTTCATGGATGAAGAACTCATTGTTCAGGTTTTGAGGAACTGAGTTGCTACACTTGTGCGGGTGCGATGGAGATGTATGCTTCGCTGGTTTTGCTTTGGCAGGGCATGTCTTCCAAGGATAGTGATAAAGACAACCACTGCATTAGATGTTGGTTCTGGACGGCTCTCCGTCTTCCCCCAAGTTGCAAAGCTTGGCAGATAATTGACTAAGCGTTCTGTGCGATATCTAGTAGCAAACCCCCAGTATGGAACCTCGGAAGTCTATTCTTCCAGGAACCCTTTCTTCCAAAACAAACTGCTGGGATTAGGCTGCGATAACAGATACAGTAACACACACAAAAAAGAAGAGAAACACACACACACATCAACGGAAACTTCTGCAATGTCCGCTCGCTTCTTCACCAAAAAACGCTCCTCCGGGGCGAAGCGACGCCACGCGGTCCGCGGCACCGCGTCGCGCCGAGCGACTCAGGAAGTTCCGCGAGAGGTCCGTGTTCACGCGCTGGGCCGTGTCGCCGCCACAGGGCCGAAACCGGACCCGGTCCTCCGGCAGATCCTGAAAAAAGAAGGGAGGGCGCAGGGTGGGGGCGCAACATGTGGGGGGGTCTCAGGATGGCATCGAAACAAAGGGAACTCACCTCGTGTTTGTTTCAGTTTCTGTAGTTTCTGGCTGAAGCCTCTCCCGACTGCCAACGAGGAAATGGAACTGTGTGTTTAGAAGGAGATTGGTCAGAGCATTGAACCTCAAAGTATCACCTTTCATCAACCTCTGAGCATTGAACCTCAAAGGACCATTCAAACAATTCAGCTAAATGGGGTTTCCGGGATAAGTTTAATGTCTAGGTTGAAAATGTTCTGGCACGTGGTTTTGTCACCTGACCGTTGGAGGGACCTCGATCTTTAGATTTGAAAATGCTGTGCAAAAGGACCTGGCTGTTGTATCGTATCTTTCTTGTTCTGCCCCCTGTCGGACGGAATCAATGTTCAATTCAAAACCCTGACTTTCCCAGATGTGTTTCTGTATGGCCATGCGCACACGCATATAATAGGTTATTATGTATATTATTCTACCTTACTACTATTATTACTGTACTACTACTATTATTGTGACATGACTAAACCGGATTTGAGATCACTTCCAAGCCCCCAATGTGTTTTAACTTCTGCATTGGAGCAATTTCCAGTTGTGGAGTGTTCTTTTAGAGTGCCAAAACATTGAACAAAAAGAACATATACCTCTGCCAACGGACAAAACAACTGGGCCCAAGGCCCAAGAATTCGGGAGAACACATCGAGAAAATCTTCTCAAAAAAGTAACTTACCAGCTCAACAAAGAACAAAGGCCCCAGCTGAAATCAGCACTGAAACACAACTCTCCTCGCACTGCTCATGACTTAATCTGACCATGACAGATTGGTTTTGGATGGCTATTTGCAAATGCTCCTCGCTCCACATGTGCTGTTGACCTACCCAATTCCTCACGGTGTCCCTCCTTGAGTGCATCCATGGCGAAATTCCGCCAGGAGATCTCAGTCACAAAGATCACGTCGCAGTCATGGTATAGGATCAGACCTTGCACAGCTGGCTTTGGTAGGATAAGATCAGGTCATGTGAGTCCACCCAAAGGTCCTGTGAATTCACCTCTACATAAACAATCTGTCCAAGAAAGTAGAAAGGGCCTGCCCCACATGACCCCCACCATGCCCCACCCCTCCATCGATTGGTGTCGATTTCTCATCCAGCATACAGACCCTTCGGCATGCCAGTCAATCCTTATCAAACCCAGGGTCAAGCAGCCAAGCACCATCCCGGGAATGTAGTTCGAGTTGGACCCTTTGGATCCTTTGAAAAGGAAGAGTCACCGAAACGTCAGAACTTAATCGAAAGCACTGGGATTCCCTTGAACCCAAATCAGGAAACTGTTCAATTCTATGGTTTTTTGGGGCATTCAAGTCAGTTCTCAGCTGGAATCCCTTTTGTTCAATGACAACAACTTCATGACTGCAGCTTTGAACGCAACATCACACTTCTCTGCTCAAATATGTACACGGCTTTGGCTGAGTTTCTCTGCCTGCCAGTTGCCTTACTGTGTTAGTCTTCATATTTCATTGGAAGTTAATTCCAAATCCTGCCATCGAACAAATATGTTTGGTTGGGCTGAATTGTTGAAGCAGCGTGATGAATTGGATGTGTCTCAGAGTGACAAACCCTGTCAGTTATATTGGATTATTATCATTAGCAGTATTTAATCGTATTTATACTAGGTAACAACTATGACATACAAGCAGAACAGTGAATCTTATTCAATCGATACAAACTGGGAGACTGCTGTGTCACCTCCCAATATCTTCCAATCCTTTCCCATTTCCACCAGGCCTGCTCCCCTCGATTTTCCCACTCGTCCCGTACTCGACCCGTGCTCGATCGCCCCCGTGCTCGATCGCCTCGTGCCAAGGCCACGAAGGGCTGGACATCTCCACGGGTTCCTCGGGTGATCAGCATCACCTCACGGCTTTCGGACCGGTGGGGCCCTCGGAGACGGCTGGGGAGAGGGTGTTTTGGGGGGGAGGACCGAGGTCTGTTGTTGACGTGTTTGTTTGTATTTGTATCAAAAGAGGCAATAAACATGCAAACAACATATGTCATATAAATAGTAGACTTCATCATGGTTTGATGACAAAAGCATGAACATCCGAGTAAACATGACGTACGATGTAATAATATAGAGGCTTTCTCTTTTTGTTCGAGTGATCCTCTTTCTCCACCTGACTAAGAGCAAGGTTCTGGCTAGTGGCTATCCTGCTTTTCGCATCATGTTGATGTGTGCAGTGTGACTCCTGGGAAGGTCACTACTAATAACTGCCTTTAACTACTAGTAACATCGAGTAACAGAATACCTACTAAAACGTACTAAAACATGATCAGGGTGAAAGAGTTGGACATCGCCAGTAAGCTGCCAGTAAGATGGCTCAGGTCTGGGATCTGAGACCACATGCCATCGCAAAAGAGACAATTTTTTTTCTTCAGGTCTTGGGAAAAAAAAGGCAGGAGGAACGTAGTGAAAAAGATCGATGTCTTTTCCCACTACCACGCCTCGACAGCCGAAGAAATCGTCTTACCTATCTTGACAAAAAATGCCTCTTCAAAGAAACTGATGGAACATGTGTCTTTAAAGAGGCTCTTTCCAGGAAAAAAAACATCCTTGGCATGTGGGCCGTGACGGCCACCGTGACGGCTCCCTGGTCACAGCGCCGTGATGGTCACGGCCCTCGGCTCACCTCTCAGCCTCTCCGCAACACCGGCGGAACGGACACCGCGCCTTCTTCCGTCCGGTGCTTTCTTTGGCGCCAGGGGGGAGGGAACCCAATGAACTGCGGAAGACCTCCGGAGCAGCGGACCAGAGGGGCATCTTGGGGGCAAAACAGTATGCTTTTGAGGGACTTTGGATGATTTCCGTTTGATCCACTTCCGGGATGCTGATGGTGCTAATGATTTCCCTTTGATAGGCTGGCAAATCTGGATTCCAACATTGCTTGGAGACTTCAAACAAAAATTGTTCAAAGTCACCCAAAACTTGGTTCAAAGTAGCATCCGGAAGCTTAATAGGCCAATATATGAGGATTCTGCTCGACAAAACTAGATACATGTATCAACCTATTCCAGCTATCGAACTATTCTATCTTCCCGATCACATCATACAGCCTATTAAACTTGGGTATGTCATATGTCATACATCCTTACCAGTAACAGTGGATGATGATGGTTAGGTTGCAGGCCCTTCTCAAAAGAATGATCATCTTTTGCCAGCTGTTACCGGTTTGCTGGACATGGGTTGTAAACTCTCTTCAGGCCTGGGAGGTTTATATAAATTCCTATATATTGCATACCTTATATGGATGAGTCAAAACCTGGAGCCCGACCAGTCCACCTTTTGCCGCGAACGACTAGTCCACCAGGTAGGCCAACTGGTCAGTATTCTGGTGCTATGACCCGCAGCTATCTGACACATACTTCTTATCCCAGAAGAGTTAGGACATAAAAAAAAGTACTGGGATGAGAGTTATTTACTACATACTTCTTATACAGAAGTATATGATAGTATATGTCTTTTCGATTTTTAAAGAATACTTCTTATCCCACGGATGTCGTCAAGTTCGCCTCTGAGCGGCTTGCCGTGGAGGGCGTCGAGGCGCTGGAAGGTGTCTGAGACGGGTCGACCGTGTCCGACGGGTCGTCCGTGTCCGACGGGTCGTCCGACATGGAACTTCATGGAACATGGAACTGAAAAACTGTTTGGTGTGTCTTTTTGTTTAAAGAAAACCATGTTTTGTTGTTGTTTTCTCCTTTTAAATTCTTTTCCCTGGCTATGGCCTATATGAATCATTAGACGTCTCGCATGGTAGGTACCTTCAGTGATGCTGTGAAAGTGAATCAACACGCATGGTGATCAGCAAATTTGGGCAAAACGGATAACTATCATATTATAGTGGTGGTGCCAGTTTCGACAATCAGTTTGCCCAACATGCTGTAAGTTTGGAGTCTTAAGAGTGTGATGTAGGATGTTCACAACGACAAATCACCCCATCTTGTCTATGGACGTCTCTCGATTCTCATGGAATTACAATCTATAGTGTATATAGACGGTTAATCACACTGATCTGATATGAAATGATATAATATTGATATAAACAGATTTAAACTATTCAACTGGCACAATGAATCCCATTGCCTCCGGCAGAGCTTTTATTAACACATTCCCGCCATCAGCAAGAGTACACGAGCCCGGCAGTGCGACCAGTTCCCCACTCAGTGCCACGTGCGATCGATTGAGCCCTGCGCGAACGATTTCGCCTCTTGCACAAAGGATCCAGGTTCCGAAACCTCAGCAATCACAAAGCGGCCGAAAGCACATCATCTCCAGTGTAGTATGGACTCAGACCATAGGTATCTATATATACCCTAGACTTCCAAGACCATTAAAAGAATGGTTGACCTGCTTTTTGTAGTGTAAAAATCCTTAGTTGATTCGGTAAAGCTACTTAAATTCATGGTTGTTGGAAGCCTCGGTATATATTTAGATGGATATCATATATGTCCTTCATGGTTAGAACATGTTAGAACACACTTAAAAGATCTTAAAAGGTCCAAATCATGTGCGAACAGCATGTACCTTCCTATCCAATAAGTCTTGGGGGAGCTCTCTCTATACATCTTTAGTGGGAGTAAAGTGATATCTTCATTGCTTCTACACATCGTGAAAATTGGCTTACTTCATCAGTGCTTCTTTGGACATCCTGCACTCTTCAGTCGTTTTCCCCGATCTCGACGGGTGAGAGCATGTTCCCAAAAACCGCAGTGGAGCGCTGCGCCTGGATGAGGAGATGAAGGAAGCTCGGCCTCAAACAGTGAAACAAGCGCATGGTTCGAACGCAAAGTATCCGCACGGTTCGCTGGTCGACACTGGAAATCCCGGCTTGAGGGGAAAGAAGTTGCCCCCTGTCACAGCAAGGGAATCTAAGAGCACACGTGTTCCAAGGGCCAGCTCCAATCAAACCGGGAGGAGCGAGAGAGGTTGGTCTGTTTGGCCGATGTTCAACCACTGCATTTCCAATTTTGCGCTAGCGGCTAGCGCCAACGTCTGGGGAATAGCTGCCCAAATGATTGCAGCTTACTTTTGAGTATATGTTCACATGATGCAATCCAGCTTCACGCCCCAAATCGCTGCTAGATGTTCACCCCCTCCTGAGCAGTTTGTACCCATTTGTCCAATTTGAAGACCAATCGCCTAATCCCGATATGTTGGAGATCGGCGATGGGAGAAAACGTCGCCACGCCACACGCTGGCTGCGCCTCCTGTTCAAAGGCCTCAAGGTCCTGTCCAAGGAATCTGGCCCTCGAGGAGCAGTTCCATAGACCGCCTCGACGTGGATGGCTTTTTGCCGACGCGCCGCGAGAACTAGAAGAGCTCGCCGCGAGAAATAGGAGCCCTCGGAGAACATCTGTATTGGATGGCTTTTGGGGGTAAGATCCGCCCAAAACGAGATAGATATCGTGTCAACAAGTTCTGCATGCTGCGCATGGGCGTTTTGGGCGTGTTGCCCTCATGTTTCCTGGTGAATGAACTGAAATTACGGTATTCTATGACCCCTTTTTCCAGTACCTTCAGCTCGAGACCTTTCAAATGAATGAGATCACGTTGAAGGTTCTTTTTTGTGAGCTGGTGTAGGGTACCTTGAAAGCCATGAGAAACTCATGCAACCGGCCTCAGAGGTCAGAGGATCTTGTAACAGCAGGCGCCAGTGCCTCCTCTTCTCCAAGTCCTGGGCGAAGCAAATGGGTGACATCACCTGAGGCATTTCTATCCTCCTAACGTTTCTTGGATGGTCATGTTCGTGGGACGTGCAAAAGGGCAATTCGGTCAGACCTGTCTCAGTTGATGAGATCATCACAACGATGCCGTCGCGGGATCAGCAGGCCAAGTTGAAACTGTTATGAGACATGAACGACCATATATGAATTAATACCTAAACGACCAGACATGTTTGGTAGTTTGGAAGATCCAGGTGAAATTTTTTGGAGGGAATGCCATGTCAGCAACCAGTCCGAACTGTGCCAACAACAGATGCGTGTTCATCTTGGTCATCCTGTTCCGTGACATCTCCATGCGAGCTTGTCCGTCGACATCAACATCAACGGGGTCCAACGCCGTTGGGACGCTTTTGAATGTGCCTCCCTATACCACTCCAAGTCCAAGCGCCTCCCGTGGGTTTCAAACCCTAAGTCTTTGTTTGTTTCACGGTGATCATCCAACGTCCGCGGTGCTTCCCATCGCCCCGTTTCCACCTTGGTCTCCATCTCTGCCACGGCGATGATTCGCCGCAGCGCCACGTCCCAAACCTGCGGTACGCTACGCCACTGAGGTGAGGAGCTGAGCCGTGTTCTGCCAACAAAAGCACTTTTGGGGGTAAAGAAAGGAACAACATCACAAGCTAACACACAGCTCACACCTGTTCTGTTCTGGATGGATTTGCTTGACGATGGAATGATGATCTTGAATATCCTTCGTCAGTTTGCTTCTGTTAGGTTCATGTCTTGCCAGGTCCAAGATTAGAGTCATTCCTGACTGGGTGGTTTAAGGTGCTCGCAAAACGTGTGAACCAAATGAACACCCTCGTGAGAGTTCCGCAGACGAACACCGGAACACCATCTTCCTAGCTTAGCAGGGCTCCTTAGGTCATCATGACCGCTGACTTTCTGCTTGATCAAACCACCGAGCATCAGCAGTGGAAATTGTACAACCAACAATTGAATGAGCACAGTGCCACTTGGGGACCAGTGTCCACGTGTATCCTAAGAGTCTAAGACCTGTCACCTGCCACCGTAAAACTTGCCCTATAGGTCATTGCCGAGGGAACCTTGAGGAGTCTGTTTGAGTCCGGTGCTCCGCCGAGTGCAATTTGGACCTCTCGCCACGATCCAATGTCTTTGCCCACTAAATCCAATGAGCCAATTCGTATACGGGGAGGGAGGAAACCAATTCTTTCCAAACAGTACAAGATAGTACTCGTATAATATTATAAGTGGGTTCACAGTACATGGCAGAACCCCCGATATTAGACGATCAAATTTAAGCAACCAAACCATCATCTCTCTCTATATATATAATTAGATCTATCATGATCTATCATACCTTGGAACCGCCAGCAACCTGGCAACCAACTCTGATGGGATTTTATTGAATCCTTTAAGACTCGCCTCGAGGCGGAGTGTCTTCACCACTTCGAGCTCCACCTCGAGAGGAAAGCAAGCACAGCACCGACAGCGCGCGACAGCGGGCGCGTCGCCGTTGGAGATGGATCGACGCGGCCGGGAGATATTTGTGGGAAGGCAAAGAGGAACATCATGGGGGATCCTGGTCGAGGACACAGCTCAAAACCAGCTGAACACGTCTAAAAGAACACCACTATAGTTGGACAGTTCTTTTTTTCCTGGGGTCTCCCTGTTCCCACCCACAAACAAACAACCAGACCAAACCAAACAAGAAAGAAAACAAACCAACCCAAACTAACAGACTAACAAACTATATAAAACAAAACAAACAAAACAAACAAAACAAACAAACAAACAAACGCACACACACAAACAAACCAACAAACAAACACACACACACAAACAAACAAACAAACAAACAAACAAACAAACAAGCAAACAAACAAACAAACAAACAAACACAAGCGCGCGCGTTTTTGATGTGGCAGGTTCTGGTCACAAATGTGCTGGCTTGGTAGGTGATTTGTAGAACTGCCTCCCTTCAGATGGCGTTGATGATGTAAGTTTTCCGAAACCACCCGGCATGCATAGAATCTTCAAAATAGAGAATCTCTAGCTGATGCAACCTGCTCTGTTCAGAAGTCCCTTGTTGGACGACTGGCTGTCGGAGTGAGTGTCTGATTCTAAGCCAAGCTTGGTTTGGCTTACACGTGTCTGGGTTGATTTCTTCATTCCTCAGTTTGGAATAGCTCTGCTCTGCAGTACAAAAACCAACTTGGGTGGGTAGAAGCATCGACTGAGCGCATGCTTTTGCCACGGAGACTCTCAACAGTCACAGCTTTCGTTGTTTTTTTGGCGGCGCTTTGCGTGCTGCTCAAACAAACCCCACATGCATGGAGATTCTTGTTGGTGATAAAGGGACCTATACTTAGGCCATGATGTCCTGGGAGTTGTTCATCTGTTTGCGAATCAAAATACAACCAAAGAAAGAACGTTGCAATCAGTCAACATCAAAATCCTTCACAAAAAGACACACAACACAAACAACAATTGCATTGCCCAAATCGAGGCCAAGGACCTCGCGACTCCAACCATTCACATTGCACGGCCGATGCGCTTTGCACGAGTGCGCGCGCTGCGCGTGGCACGGCGGTCGCGCTGCCCGACCTCCACGGGCTCGGCTGGGCGGAACTTCACCGAGCCATTGGTCTCCTGAAGAACATAGGGGGAGACGGAAAGGCGACGGCTACGGATCTCCAAAGGTCTCCAACCGGTCGGGCGTTTCTTTCCGGCATCAAAAGCGTGGCGGGGCCACGGCATCTTCCATGGTACGGGAGTCGACAACTCGATGTACTCACCCGAAATCGGATGGGGAACCATTTTTCACTTGTCAAAGCTTCAGTGTGGTTCACCCCAAGATCCCATCAAAGGCATGAATACATCCCAAAATTCATGGAAAGAAAAAGAAAAAATACTGCTGGCTGAGAGGTGCTTGAATTCAATCCATTCATGACAACCCTAAACCCAAAACCCAAAACCCGTATGTTATGGTCCTGGTCCCTGATCACGAGTCGTTGGGGCTGTTAGGTCAAAAAACAACACCTGGGTCAGCTGACGTTCCGCCTCCTTCCTTAAGAACGTTTAAACGCAGCTGCCACCTGCACACATACGAGCTGCCATGTGCCCTGTGCCCCCAGGTGTTCCCGTGCCGGGCGCAAACATCGGGTCCGTCCACACGGGGTCCTGCTCGAAATCAAAGACTTTGGTGGTGTTGAGCCTTCCATGACTTGCTTTTTGGGTTGAGACGGGGGCCGTAAGATCGACGGTTGCGTTCGTAGAACGCAAGTGGGCTGAGAAAGAGGTGTTTTTTTCACTCAAAGCGAAGGGAACATGCTCCAACCGTTCTACTCCGAAACTAGAGTCCTCTTCCAACCCCATGGGATGATCAAAACAGGGCACTCTCTCAAACGGAAAAGAAAACGGTTTAAAGCTAAGCTGTGTCCGGGACACCCCTGATGATAAATGAACAAAATACCATATTTCATTGATAGGGAGAAGAAAAGACTTCTGATCTAGTCTTTTGAAGTATTGGACAAACGCCAACAAAAACCGTTGCATTAATTCCGAATTCTCTTCTCCTCGAAGCAACTCATGCCAGGGCAGTCTGTTGGCATCACTAGCATCGCCACGATGATCCCATCTGCAACAAACATTCGAGGCTTTTGAAACCGACCCTGCAATCATCCCCTTCTTTGGGTTGGTCCACTTACTTCTTCACATTCCTGCAGCCACTTGGTCCCTTGGCCACAGCGTGTACATGTACCCCACTCGCCTCTCGGGTGAGATGAGCGTGACCCGCAAATCCACTTGCCTGGAATGAGCGTTGGCTGGTGGGGATGGTGTTGGACATAAGGGGTTGGTTGGCGTTCGATCATGCGAAAATGGTGGCACAGTGCACCACCTCGAACATCCTAACGAAGCGTGTCTGCTGTGTCTTTGCAGATGGTGCGCCAATTAACCCTTGACAATAACAATTCAAATGGATGTCTTCGCACATCCTGAGGGTTGGGAACCAGATTCAGCACTACAGATCGTGAACGGATGAGAACTCGGAAGGCTCCTGACAATGCGGAAAGCGAACTTGAATTTGAATCCGCGTTGGGCTGGTCAATTCCGTAGGGCGATCAAAGAGGACGGTCCACACCAAGCGACACCAAAGACCTGAGAAGCTGCAAAACGAAAACCAGCGCTTCCCTTTCTCGACAACCGCGCGTCGAAGCAATCAAATGGGCTCGCGCAGCCGCTTGCGGCCGCGTGTCAAATCTGCTTCATGTCTTTTTCTGCCCACACATAGGTAACCATGCAAAAGCAAAAAATGCACTCTTGCATCACCACCCGCTCCAAAATCACTAAAACATCACCTCCAAGAGTTTACGTATACCTTTCTCGGGCCACCCCCCCCGACCCCCGACCGACTTCACACATAGATAATTGCCATCCACATTCAGATGAAGCAAAAGCCAAACAATGCACCAAAATTCGAGGTGGCCTGGGACCAGAGGCTCGCTGCCCGAAACTATATGTTCAGGCCACCTCAGAAATGAAGATATGCGAAGCAAGGGTCCTGAGGTGCCTCTCTGACAAGGCTTTTGTTAAAACAGCCAGTTTTTCAAGCTAAATTCAAGGTGGCCTGAGACCAGGGTTTGCTGCCCTAAAACACTCTGTTCAGGCCACCTTCAAAATGAAGGTCTGCGAAGCGAGAGCAGAGGATGCACATTGTCCTTCTGCTGCTTGAATGTGGCCTTTTGTTTACTTAAAAGTTCAAGACCTCCCAGCTGTTTCCACCTCTTCGCTTCCCAGTCTTCCCAGGGTTCATATAGGGAGCCAGGCCATTTTCAGAATCTTCTGGATTTGAGCTGTTCGAGTTCCTATTCAAGGGTATAGTTGGCGAGTGCGTCACCACCCGCTCCAAAAGCATCAAAGCATCACCCCCC